ATTCCCATCCACCAATACACACACACACACACACACACACACACACACCTTTCTCTGAGCTCCCCTCCTACCACCCACTCCCCACTCACTGTGATTCAACCACAGTCCGATGACCTCAGGGCCTTTGGACTCGCTCGCCCTCCGTGGTTTTACACCCACACACACTGATGACTTTACCTAGCCAGCTCCTTTTCCTCCTTTTGGTCACAGACCCTATCTAGAACAAGTCCCCTTGTTATCTCTCTCATGGTACCCTGTGCTTTTCTTTATCACAACCTGTAATTAGTAGTGTACATGTGTATTGATCATCTCTTCCACTAGACCATGACTTAGCCATGCCGCCCAGACATCACTTAGAGCACTCTTAGTGTTAAGAAACTTTTGATTGAGTAAAAGAAACCGATTCCTCTGGGATCCCAGGGCCTGTCTTTCTGACATCCCCTCCCTAGCACTCTCCCCCCTTGCTTATGCCATTTTTTCTTTCCATTTCACTTATTATCACCTTATGTGACACTAGACAGACCCCCCACAAAGGAAGCTCTAAAAAGACAGGGCTCTGTTTTTGTGCAATGTAATTTATCACCACTGGCTAGAACATTCGTTAATTTTTTTTTTCTTGACTGGCGGAGGGAAACCATCATGGTTTTGATACCTGACCCAGTGTGGGCAAGGTCAGGGCTAACTTCGCAGTAGGGTCAGCCGGGATGCAGCTGGCTCTAAGACTATGTGAGAAGAAAGAAAAAGAAAAGAAAAAGCAAGGAGGAGGGCAAAGCCGGGGAGCCCAACCCTTGTCTGAGAGCACCAGCTTCCTGGACCCCCTCTCCTTTCTGTGTCTTTTGTCTCTACAGGTCAGTGCAGCCCGGGAGGACCCCATGGGTGGGCAAGAGCTCAGGAGAAGGCCTGCCCCCCTTCCCAACCCTACACCCTAGGTCTCCAGCCCTCACACCAGGAGACCCTGTCGTTGCTGTTTATATATATATATATATATTATATATATTATATATAAATATCTATTTATCTGTCTGAGCTCTGCCCTCACCCACTGCCCTCATGCACTAAGGGCCCAGTCTTGAGTGGCCCCATTTCTTACCCCTGCCCCTGCATCCTCTGGCCCCTCTCTGTTCCCCCAGCCCTGTCTCCTGAGGCTTGGGGGCTCTAAAGGGGGGGCAGGGAGGGACCAGACCTCGGCTGTGTGGGGAGGGCGGACATGGCTTCAGACTCTCCCCCTCTCTCCTTCCCCTCCTCCCAACTCTGGCCTTGGTTCCTCCAGCAATGACTGAACAGAGGCCATTAGGGGAAATTCAACCCAAGGGTGACTGGGTGGGGGGGGGCTTGAGACGGAGCAGACAGCTTAGGACCCAAGGTGGTCTTGGAGGGGAGCTCTGGAGCGGAGGGGACTAGTCAGCAAGGGAGTTGGGTTCCAGACATACTGGACCTGGAGTCTAAAGACATTCTGGTGGGCTTGGAAGGCAGCAGAGGGCATGGGTCTGGAGAGGGCGGGGCTAGAAGTAGGGCAGAGGGTGGGCTCCAGAGTGGACATCGTTTCTCAGTAGGACAGAGATGTGACTTGGGGTGTGGGGACAAGGCTTGAAAGACCGCGAGGGGCCTGGTTCTAAGGAGCCAGGCTTGAAGCAGGCAGTGGAGAGGCTCCAGGGTGAGCAGGTCTTGGATTAGGACCAGAGTCGATGGAAGGGGCGTGGTTTGGAACATTCAGGCGACTGAGCTTGAAGTGAGATTTAGGAATGGGCCCAAGCTTGGGGTGAGGGCCTGGTCAGGATTCCAGATGGGGCAGGGCTTATAGTGGGGCATGCGTGGTGGCTTTAAAAGGGGTCAGCCCCGCCCCAACGGGGCAGTGAAGGAAACTTCTTAAAGGGACCAGTTTGGGCAGTAGGGCGGGGGTGAGGGGGACATGGTTAGGAGCTGCAGAATGAGTTTGTTAGGGACTGGGAGAATGCCCCTGGCCGAGGGCAGGGATGGTTTGGAGACTGCGGGGTGAGATCCAGAGAAAAGCACCCCCACCCCCTTGCCGAGACAGCTAGGTAATCAGAGGACAGAGCCAATGGGTCCGTGGGGCTGGCCCACCCCTCTCCCCCCTCTCCTGCCCCCTCCCTTCCTCCACACCCCTCCCTGTCCCGTCCTGGGGTGGTTGGAGGCCCGGTCTGGAGCCCCATTCCTGCACCCTCTGCTGTGTCTGTGATGTCGGTAGTGCCTGTGATCGTGTGTTGCCATTTTGTCTGGCTGTGGCCCCTCCCCCCTTCCCTCCAGACCCCCCCCCTTTCCCGCGCCCTGCGGTATTGTTTGAAGACCCCCTCCCTAAGGAAGAACAAATATGATTAATTCTCCTCCCCCAAATAAACTCCTCAACCACCTAGTCCACCCGGCTCTACTTTCGCGGTGTGTCTTTTTTGGGGAGAAGGGAAAGGGTCCAGAGGAGAGATGGGATAGAAGAGACAAGAGAAAGCGCCGCCTGCGACCTGCTGAACAGGGTTCAGGTCGCCGCCGACAGCCGGTGACAGCAAAGAGCCGTATCCTCTTGTGAAGCCTCCCTGCCCGCCGACCCTCCTAAGTCACGCTCGGACGAGCGCTCCTCATCCCGGCTGCCGGCTACCGAATGCCGGGTCTTTCTGGGGTTTGCGTCTAAAAGTCTAGTCCCTTAGCCACGCCCCCTTCCCAGCCCCTGAGACGCCCTCTCAAATCCCCCCCTATTGCTTCGCAGAGAAAGTTCAGCCTACCCCAGCCCCTCGGTGTTACTCAGTCCTGCTGTCCCCATTCCCTCGCTTCCGCCCCAGCAGGATAACCGGGAGGGCTGCTAGGTGCGGGGGACGGGGCGCCAGGGTGACTCCTTAGTTCATTAATGTATTCATTCTCTTTTACCACTCCCCAGCTCCTCCCTGGGGCAAGGAGGGCCGGAAAGTGACCAGGTGGTGTGTAATAGGGGCAGAGGGAGGTCGCTGGCGCACTTGATGAAAGGCCTGGCTAACCGCCGCCGCCTCCGTGCCTAATTAGAGACCCCAGCCCGGCGCCTGAGTTCTGATTGCGGGCGCAGGACCCCCTCCTCCCAGCCCCGAGGCACAGCGCAGCCCAAGAGCGCAAAACAGAGACTCCCGGCTCAGGGACTGAGCTCAGGAAAGGGGCTATCTAATTGGAGAGAGCAAAATGGGGCAGAGGAGGGAAGACTTCGAGATCAATCTACTTTTCTGGTATTAGGGGGCATGAAGGCTGGACCCGTAAGGATGGAGAGGGAGCGTGGAAGAAGGTCTTGGAACCTGTCCAGTGACTTCAGCTCCCTCCCCATAAATCTCAAGTAATCCTGGCCCTCTGTGGATCTAGCTCTTTGGTGGGGGCCAGAGCACCAGCTGGGCCTAAGGGTGAGACTGGGTACCGTACTTGCAGCATTCATGGGGGAGGGGGGGAGGAAGAGACCCTTTGAAACTCACCAGTGCGGAAGACCAAAGAGGTGGCTTTAACCCGTTTCCCAAATAAGCATCCAAGATAAATCCACATGAAGCGTCCAAACACCCCAGTGCGCCACCCCTTCCAAGTCAGGTCTCCACCTCCAAGTCCCCCCGCCCTCCTCCACAACAGAACAGCCAAGCCCTAGAATGTCCCGGGAGAGGCCACGGGGCACACTGGGGTTCAAGAAGCCATGTCTTCCGACGCCCAGCCCTGACGCGGGCCGGGAAGGCAGGGGGCTTTCCTGCAAAGGCGCTCCCCAGCTGCGCGTGGGCTCACCTCTAGGCAGGGGGCGCCTCGGCCGCCGGGAGACACGGATCCAGGGGCGGGCTCTGCGGGGCGCGCTCCTCCCACGCCGGTGTCGGGTTTACGGAACACAGCTCCCAGGCCGGACGCGCGGTGGCCTGACGGCCGCGAGGATTCCATTCGCCCGACCCGGCCCAGCTTGACCCTGCCCGGGCGCGCCATGTTCGCGCGTGGGTCTCGGAGGCGCCGATCGGGGCGTGCGGTGAGCTGGACTCAGGGCAAGGGGTGGGGGTGGGGGGCAGTCAGGGCTCACTGAGGCCCGAACAAGGGGGCAGAACTTAGGAGTAGCGAGTAGGAGTCCCACAGAGGATCTGTGAGCCCTCAGCCCCTGCCTTCCCACACCTGGGCACCAGGGCTGTTGCAGGCATATGGGTGAAGAACTGTGTAGAGCTAGTGGCTCACGCTCCCTAATCCATTCTCCACACGCCAGCACCTAGTGGCTCACTTCTCCTGGGAATTATGGGAGAGGATTCCGGGGGCCAACAGAGTGGGTCCTGGGGTCTTGGGTCGAAAGGGACTTCTTGAACTTCTGAGGGAAGCGGGACCATACCTTGGGGAATGTGGAGTGAGGGATTGGGTCCTGAGGTGCCCCAACGCTTAGGGCTTCGGGGGAACAAGGCTTTCAGGCTTGCACCGGAGCCAAGGGCATTTGATTTCCTAGATAGGAGGGGGCTTCTCTGACCGGGAAAGTGGGGTCTGGGTTTGGTAGTGCAGAGGTGTGGATAGTCCTAGGATATGAGGGGTGAAAGCCAAGGTTTCTTGGGGTGAAGATTCCTAAATGGAGCAGGGGCCTCCTGAGACCCTGGGAGAGGATCCCCAATTCCTTGGGTGTGAGGGGTGAGGCCAGGGTTTGGGGGAAGGGGTCCTGATTTTCCAAAAGAAGGGGGGAGCAGGGGATCCTGAGGAAGAATGGGGGGGGTCTCAGACTCCTGCCTTGTGGACTTGGAGTGCCGCTGGCCTCCTGGCTGGAGAAGGGGCTCAGATGAAACCGGGAAGGAGATGCCAAGATGAGGGACTGTGGGCTCTGGTGGGCAAAGCCCCTGCATTCTGGAGCCTGGAGGAGCCTGTGGCTTGGGGGAGAGAGGTGTCCCAGACAGGCCAGAGGGAGGGGAATTCCCTGAAGGGGGGGCATACAAGGAGGTGGCCTCAGCTGCCCCACCTCTGCTCGATTGTGGCCCCCTCCCCCGCGATCCAGGCGCTGTCCCAGCCTGCCCAGCGCTGCCCTAGTGGGACAGGCCCCAGCGTGCGGTCGCGGGCTTGGGAGTGGAGAGGCAGGCGTTGACTTCTCCCTCCCCGTTCCTGAGCCTCGCCTGGCCCTTCATCTGCACCCCGCCCACTACAGCCTCCAGAGGCAGAAGACCCAGACCGGGGCCAGCCCTGCAACTCCTGCCGAGAGCAGTGCCCCGGCTTCCTGCTGCACGGCTGGAGGTAAGTGACCCCCAACACACACACACATGGCCCCAGGGCCTCAGTCTTTGCCAGAGCCCCACCTTCAAGGGACCCCCTCTCCCCGAAGCTTAGGCCACGCCCCCAGGATTGAGTTCCGCCCACAGACCATTGAGTAGGGCCGCCTCACGCTCAGATTCAGAGTCCCGCCCTCGGACTCATTTCCAAGATCCCAGTTCCCAGGAGCGCGCCACCCTCCGCAGCCCCCGCCCCCAGAACTGTTCTGCCGGAGCCTCTGAGTTCCATTCCTCAGAAGACGCTCCGTCCTAAGCTCTGAGCACCACTCACCGACCTCAGACTCTCTCTTAGGCTCAGAACGCCTCTCCTCCTACTGGAGCCCTGTACCCAGAAAATCTCATGAAATACTACAGACGGAGCCCACAGCCCCAGACTCAGGCCGGACCCACAGGCTCACAGCCCCGCCCACCCACATGTTCAGAGCCCCATCACAGGCTACAGCCCTGCCTATGGGGAAGATTCCCCTGCAAAACGCAGAACTCATCCTGAGAGGAAGCCCTTAGATTTACTCCTCCAAACTCAGTCTCCGAGCCCCACGCCTACCTCGGGGACATCCGGGCTCTCAGCTCCACCCCCAGTTCAGAGTCGCATTCTTTGTCCCCAGTCTTTTTTTTTTTTTTTTAAAGAATATTTATGTGTTTATTTGAAAGTCAGAGTTACAGAGGAGAGGCAGAGGCAGAGAGAGAGGGCCAGGCCGCAGCCAGGAGCTTCTTTTGGGTCTCCCACATGGGTGACAGGGGCCCAACAAATTGGGCCATCTTCAGCTGCTTTTCCCAGGTACATTAGCAGGGAACTGGATTGGAAGTGGAGCAGCCGGGACTCAAACCAGCGCCCATATGGGATGCTGGCACTACCGGTGGTGGCTTTACCCGCTACGCCACAGTGCCGGCGGCCCCTGTCCCCAGTCTTAGCAGCCCTCAGCTGGAATCTGAGCCTTTCACAGCCAACACCATACTCCCCCTTGTCCTGTCCACAGCCAGACCCCGGCTCATAGCTCCACCTCCTGTCAGTCCGGTCCCCTGCCCCAAAGCCCTTAGGAGATGGTGATAATAGGCGAGTCCCCGCCCCTGAGTTGGAAGTGGACTGCTCAGGGGTCAGAGTGGGCAACTCTTTACTAACTGACCCTCACGCTGCCCTCCCCCCCCAGAAAGATCTGCCAGCACTGCAAATGCCCGCGGGAGGAGCACGCAGTGCACGCCGTGCCTGTGGACCTGGAACGCATCATGTGTCGGCTAATCTCTGACTTCCAGCGCCACTCCATCTCGGACGATGACTCAGGCTGTGCATCAGAGGAGTATGCCTGGGTACCCCCGGGCCTGAAGCCTGAGCAGGTGACCAGAGGCCAACTACTACTCTTGCTCTCCTGTGGGTGCATGGGCCTGCAAGTGCGCATGCGCACGCACACACACACACACACACACACACTCAGTTGGGAGCCTGTTTCTGCAGCAGTGCTAGCTAGAGTGTGTAGTCACAACTGAGGGTGTCCTTGCTCTGTGATGGGGGGTCGCCCGCCCCCCCCCCGCGCACATACACACCTCACAAGGACCCCTGAGTGGTCCACTAGAGCACTTCCTCAGAGTCTCTTCACCCCACCCTTGTTCTACCCTTTGCCCCAGCACTTCACTGGCCAGTCTTCCTGGATTGATTCCCTCCACCACTAGACAGGCAGCACCTACTGTGTGGCAGTGTTCTAGGCACCAAGGACATGGCAGAGAAGAGAACACAAAATACCATATCCTCCCAGATGGAGGTTGGCTTCCTGGAAGGAGAACCAGCCCATAAACACACCTGCAAAATATACAGGCATCCCTCAGTGTTGTCAAGGGTGTTGATTCCAGGACTCCCACAGATACTAAAATTAGAGAGTGTTCGAAGTCCTTTTTTTTTTTATTTGACAGGTAGAGTTATAGACAGTGAGAGAGAGAGACAGATCTTCCTTCCATTGGTTCACTCCCCCAGTGGCCGCTAAGGCCGGCACTGTGCCGATCCAAAGCCAGGAGCCAGGAGCTTCTTCCTGATCTCTCATGCGGGTGCAAGGCCCAAGCACTTGGGCCATCCTTCACTGCCCTCCCGGGCCACAGCAGAAAGCTGGACTGGAAGAGGGGCAGCCGGGGCTAGAACCTGGAGCCCATATGGGATGCCAGCGGTACAGGCGAAGGATTAACCAAGTGAGCCATGGCGCCAGACCTCCGAAGTCCTTATATACAATGGTGTTGTCTTAGTGAAGAACCTACACATCCTCCCATATGCATAAAGTCATCTCTGGGTCGCTTATAATACCTAATACAGCGTAAATGCTATGTAAGTCGTTGTGATGCTGTAGTGTTTAGGGAATGATGATAAGAAAGCATCTGAATGTGTTAAGTGCTTTCAAATCTCTTTGGTCTGTCATTGGTTGAATCCACACAGGCAGAACCCCTGGATACAGAGGGCCGATTCTGTGTGTCCAATGATGTAAGGACTATGCAATAAAAAGCAGGGAGAGAAGTGGAGAAAGGGAAAGAGAGAGAGAACGAGCAAGCGAGCGAGTGAGCCTAGGTAAGCCTCAGTGAGAATTCAACATTTGAGCTGCCTTAAAGGAGGTGAAGAGGTGAGCCTCACAGGTGTCTGAGGTTAGATCCATCCCAGGCAAGGGACACAGCTGCTGCCAAGGCCCTGAGGCAGGACTGAGCTTGGCCTGTATGTTTGAAAAACAACAAGGAGGCTAGGGCCACTGGTGAGAGTGAGTGCAGGGAGAGCAGTTGGAGGTGAACTTAGGCAGGTGCTAGGGGCCATGAAGAAGACTTTCGCCTTGACTCTGAATGAAGGGGAAGCCACAAGAGGGTTGTGAGCTGAGGAGGGATGTGATTTGTCTTACGGTTTAGCAGGATCCCCCTGGCTGCGGAGCGTGGAGCAGCCTTGGGAGTGGTGGACACAGGGGTGCTAGTGAGGAGGCAACCGCTGCCATTGTCCCATTGGCCAAGGACAGTGTTGGCAGTGGAAATAGTGAGTCCAATCTTGGATACTTTTGGAAAGTAGAGCTGAGCTTAGGTGATTTGCTTGTGAGGGTGAGAGGGAGCGGAGAGAAAGACAACCCCCTAAATGAGAAGCTTCACTGGCATGGGGTCTGGCCAAGGCAGGGGCAAGATTGAAGCATAGGAGCATTAAGTTTGGTTTTGGCCATCTGAAGTTTGAGACACCTAAGTGGCCACGTGGCCTAAAACTCAGGGACAAGGTCAGAGGGCAAGAGGTAGGTGATTGGTGACACCCAAGCCCATAGGTGACATTTACAGCCATGAGAGCAGATGCAATTCCCAAGGGAGTGAATGGAGACATAGGCAAGAGGAGCAAGGATTGAGTCCCAAGACACCGCCCCCCCACCACCACACACACATACACACGCATTTAGGAGTCAGCTAGTTGAAGAGAAACCAAAAGCACAGAAAAAAGGGAGCCCCCAATAAGGTGGGAGGGAAACTGGGACCAAAGGAAGCCAAAGCCAAAGGAAGAAAGTGTTTCCAGGCAGAGGGCGTGACCAGCAGGTGCTGATGGGTCAAGTCCAACAAGGACCGAACAATTACTTTAACAATGCAGACATCCAGTGACCTTGACAGTTTTGAAGGAAGTTCAGGGGAGGAGGGTGGAGGAAGCTTGCTGGAATAGGCTCAAGAGAGACCGGGAGGTGAGGAAGTGGCGTGCACGTGCGTGCGTGCGTGCTCTCACATTGTTTCTGAGGCTTTGCTATAAAGAGGAGAAAAGCAGAGCCGGGCTGGAGAGGGAAGTGGGGTCCAGGTGTGAGGGAACCCTCGGTGTGTTATGGAGCAGAGAGGAATCATCTGGCCTTTGCAAAGGAGACGTGGGGCAGTCAGGAGAAGTTCCCTTCAAAGGACTTAAAATTTCTTGGAGAGGTCGGGGCCCCACTCACCCCTAATCTCCATTATTCTCTCCCACCCACCATGTCCTCCCAGGTATACCAGTTTTTCAGCTGCCTCCCAGAGGACAAAGTCCCTTATGTCAACAGTCCTGGGGAGAAATACAGGATCAAGCAGCTGCTGCACCAGCTGCCCCCCCACGACAGTGAGGTGAGCAGAGAAGACAGCAAGCGTACACCGGGTACCGGGCACAGCCTGCGCAGGAGCAGAGCAGTGGGAAAGAAGTGGGCAGGCCTCAGAAGAGGAAAGCTGAGCCCAGGTGAGGTGAGAGGCACAGAAAGGCAGGGCCCATCAAGGGACATTCCTTGGCAAAGCCACAGGTGGACCTTGGAAGAAGAGGTAAGAGGGAGAGGGAGGTTCTCAGGCAGGTGAGCCAGCAACACACAGGCCTAGAAGTAAACTTTAAAAAAAAAAGATTTATTTATTTATCTGAGAAACCTAGTGACAGAGTGAGAAAGAGATAGAGATTTTCCATCTGCTGATTCACTCCCCAGATGGATGCAACTGGCCAAAGCCCAGGAGGCTGGAACTCCATCCAGGTCTCCCGCAAGGGTGGCAGGAGCCCAATCACTTGGGCCCTCTTCCTCTACTTTCCCAGGCACATTAGCAGGGAGCTACATAGGAAGCAGAGCAGCTGGAATTCCAACTGGCACTCTGATATGGGATGCCAGCGTGGCAAGCGGCAGTCCCCTGTAGCAGTCAACAATTTGAGTGTGGGTGAATACTGGAAGATGGGCAGAGGCAGGCATCAAGGGGGGGGGGGGGCGGGGGAGGAACCTGGAACCGCTGCTCCTGCTCCCCTGCCCCTAACCCAGGCACAGTACTGCACGGCACTGGAGGAGGATGAGAAGAAAGAGCTGAGAGCCTTCAGCCAGCAGCGGAAGCGAGAGAATTTGGGGCGTGGCACCGTGCGCATGTTCCCAGTGACTATCACTGGGGCCATCTGTGAGGAGGTGAGCCATGGAAAACCTCAGTGAGTGAACAGTGCCTTTGTGGCAAGTCCTAGGGGGGGGCAGACCCACCTCCCAGGCCTGGGAAGCTGAGGGCTGCCGCTTAAGCCGATGTGCCTTCTCTATATGCAGTGGAAGGAGGAGGGGGCTGGGGGCTGTCTCTGGTCCTCTCATGGCCAGGGTTTTTCCTTAAGAAGTGATCCATAGTAGCAGAGCCTGGCAGCAGGTGGAATTTGTCTCCAAGGCCCTCTCCATGGTGGGTGGGGCCTGTTAGGTAATTCCTGTTGTTAAGATGCCAGTGAGGGTGGTAACTGTCTCTATGGCTCCCTGGCCAGTCTCTGAATCTCCCCCCCCCCTTAAGGGAGGTTTGCCTGTAAAGCCACCCAGATGGGCAGGGCCTGTCTCTATGGTTTGCCCTATGAGCAGGACCAGTGCCCCCTTCCTTCAGCCTTGGGTATAGGTGGGGCCTGTGTCAAAGGTATCCTGTAGAAAGGGCCCATCCCAAAGGCGTGCCAAGTGCGGTATCCATCGGACCATCTTGGGGACTAGGAACGTCTCTCTGTCATCTGGCAGTGCGGGAAGCAGATTGGAGGCGGCGACATCGCAGTGTTTGCCAGCCGCGCAGGCCTGGGCGCCTGCTGGCACCCGCAGTGCTTCGTGTGCACCACGTGCCGGGAGCTGCTAGTTGACCTCATCTACTTCTATCACGCTGGCAAGGTCTACTGTGGGCGCCACCATGCCGAACGCCTGCGCCCACGCTGCCAGGCCTGCGATGAGGTTTGTGCATTCTCTGCCCAGAGGTAGGAGTGGAGGGCGGGCAGGGGCGGGGGCAGGGGCAGGCCCTTCTGACAGCCACAGGTGGTCTGCACCCTCCAGATCATCTTCTCCCCAGAGTGCACAGAGGCTGAGGGCCGGCACTGGCACATGGGCCACTTTTGCTGCTTTGAATGTGAAACTTCGCTGGGAGGCCAGCGCTATGTCATGCGTCAGAGCCGCCCCCACTGCTGCACCTGCTACGAGGCCCGCCACGCCGAGTACTGTGATGCCTGTGGAGAGCACATTGGTGGGTGACCGTGGTGGGACTGCACAGAGGGGTGCATGGACAGCTGGACCTCAGGCCCCATAATATACCCTTTCTTTTAAGTCTAGCCCCAGCACCACAGGCCTGTACCCTTTCCTGTAAGTCCCACTTCCAAGGCCACTGGCTCTGCCATACCTCCTGAACCTCACCTACACAACAGCTAGACCCAGCCCCGAGAGCACCCTCCAATTCCCAGGCCCTTGGGCTGCCCTCTAAACAGGGCCTTTACTCCCCCCCCCCCCGCCTCCGGAGCAATGCCCTATTCTCTTCTACTCCCCTCCACCAGCCTAGGTTACCTCCTCCCTTCTAGCTACACCCTGCGCTGTAAGACCCACTCCTCTCCCCACACCCTACCTTCTAAGCCCTGCACCCACCACCCAGGCCCTTTCTTCAGGTCCTGCCTTCCACTGCCTCACTCCACACCTGATGTCTGAGCCTGGCCCATGCCTCAGAGTCCCGCGACCACCCCCACCTTCTGCTTTCTCCAGAGAAGGGCCGCATTTGGGAAAAGGGGAGGCCCCCAGAGTACCCTGCCTCAGTTTCCCCCCCTTCGGTTCCCACAGGCCTGGACCAGGGCCAGATGGCTTATGAGGGTCAGCACTGGCACGCCTCAGACCGCTGCTTCTGCTGTAGTCGCTGCGGGCGGCCCCTGCTGGGTCGCCCCTTCCTGCCACGCCGTGGCCTAATCTTCTGCTCGCGAGCCTGCAGCCTTGGGGCCGAGCCTACAGCTCCAGGGCCCGGCCCCCGCAGCTGGAGCGAGGGCACGGTCACTGCACCGCTGGCAGCTGACACAGCCTCTTTTCCCGGCTGCTGCGGAGGGGGCGTCTGAGACCTCCTCCAAAGGCACCTGTACCGAGTCGGCGCCCTGGAAAGAAGCAAAACCCGAGCGGAAGCCCCGGCCCCCCG